AATAACCCCAGCTCCCTCAGCCTCTCCTCATGAGACTTATTCTCCAGACCCCTCACCAGCTTTGTTGCCCTTCTCTGGACCCGCTCCAGCACCTCGATGTCTTTTTTATGGTAGGGGGCCCAAAACTGGACACAAACAGGGAAACGCGCTGACGCCGTGTGTGAAGGACACCCCGGGGGAGAGTGGGGGGCTGGGGGGCTTCGGGGTACGAGGGCAGCCCCCAACTCTGCACCCAGGGGCTCCCGGGCAGCTCCTACACACACACACACACACACACACCAGTGCTCGGGAGACGTGCCGCCTGGCAGAGCTGACAAGGCAGGAGTGTGAATCAAGTAGGACTTAAATTCTTAATTGAAAACCATGAATTTCATTACAACTGATAAAAACGGACATAAGGAGCTCTGAGGCTGCCAGAGCTGCCTCCAGCCACCTCTCTGCCAGCCCACAGAGACATGGGGCCGGGCTGCGGGCGAGGAGCGGGTCCCTGGCCAAACGCACTCCCTTCCCAGCTGAGAAAGGTGGTGCTGAGAGGCAGAGCCCACGTTCACACATGAGGAAGGAAATGGGAGCCTCAGAAAAATCCTGGTTCTGGAGTAGGATTGCCATGTGTCACATTAACTCCACCTGTGGAAGCTCCCTGGCTTTGGATTTATTTGATCCTCTGCATCCCAAGTGGGCTGCAAACCCCTCCAGTGATGCCAGGTCCCGGGCACAGCCGTGCCCACAGCCAGGGACACCACGTTCACACATGAGGAAGGAAATGGGAGCCTCAGAAAAATCCTGGTTCTGGAGTAGGATTGCCATGTGTCACATTAACTCCACCTGTGGAAGCTCCCTGGCTTTGGATTTATTTGATCCTCTGCGTCCCGAGTGGGCTGCAAACCCCTCCGGTGATGCCAGGTCCTGGGCACAGCCGTGCCCACAGCCAGGGACACCCACCTCTGCGGGGGTTCTGTAGCCTTTCTGACAGCATTTTGCTTTTGGGGAGCAGTGACAACAGAATTTGGAACTGCAGCTTACCATGGTGGAGAAGATGGTCTCCATCTTGTCGTCCTGTGGCCGTCTGAAACCAGTTATTTTGCACACCAGGCTGCTGTTCACCAGGACTTTGTGTGCGGCCAGGCTTTTATGGATGTAACCCATCTCTGCCAGGTACTTCATGCCAGAGGCAATCCCCTGCAACATGCCAACCAGCTGGGCGGCTGAGAACTGGCCCTCGTGTTTCTGTGAAAAAAAGAGGAGGAAAAGCCAAAGGTGAGTAACGCCCAGTTCAAGGGGGCACCACCAGCAGACCCCAGCAGTTTCCAGGGGCTCCCAGAGCACTCACCCTGAGGAAGGAGTCCAGCGTGCCGTTGCCCATGTACTCCATCACTATCATCATGGTGCTCCCTGCACGGACAGACAAGGAGCCCTGTGTGAGCTCTGCCCGTTGCTCGGGCAGTTCTAACGCTGTGGGGGTGAGAAATCCAGGTGCCAAGCTCCAGGGTGACCATCCTGGGCTGCCCGGTGGTTAAGGGAGACGTGGGCTTTATCTCAGGCAGTTTGTGATGAGCAGTGGGTCCGAGGCTTTTCTGTGGTTCCCAGCTGGGAACCCTCTGGATCCCAATATCAGACGTTCCTTTTACCAGGACACTGAACCACATCACAAAGGAGCACAGCACCGCTCAGTGAGAGCACAGGCAACAGCTCAGCCCAAGACTCAGGACAAAAATACTTCCTCACCTAATAAAAAGGCTAGTTAAAATCAGCACACGCGCTCACGTTTCTTTGGATTTACATGAACATCCATTTAACTACAGCATCCGCAGACCAGTTCAGTGCACACAGTCCCACGAGAGCCGGGAGCAGTCGGAGTCATCTGTTTTACTGACAGAACCTCACTTCAATTTGCTTTTATTAAGAGTGCAGAGTTTTGCTGCTAAGCCAGTCCTACTACCTGGATTCATTAGTCTAGCCGTAAGCATTTTATTAATCATCAGAAGGCTAAAATAGCTACTACAGGAGGAAACACCTGATTTCCAGAGAGCAAGAGCGTTGCACCTCTGGCATCAGGTCATCGCTCCAAAGCAGCAGCTCTGAGGATGCTGTGAGCTCAGCCTGCCCCATGCTTGGGACCCCCCCGTGCCCGGGACCCCCTACCTCTGGTGACGACCCCCTCCAGGCGGATGATGTTGGAGTGGTCGAACTGGCCCATGGTGCAAGCCTCGGCCAGGAAGGAGCGTTGCTGCTTCTCGGAGCAGCCAGCACGCAGGGTCTGGATGGCCACAGGCAGCTCCCTCTTGCTGGGCAGCTTCAGGCACCCCCGGCAGATTTCTCCAAACTCCCCTGGGGGGCAGAGAGAGGAGTCAGACAGCACCCACGCAGGGCACGACGTCCCTCACACCTTCCCTCCAGGGACACTTCCTTTGCCTTGGGACCACGGAGCGCGTTCCTGTGGAAGGGGTGATGTGTCCTGCTGTGCAGAGAAGCAAGATTTCCCCCAGCAGGCTCGGAGACACGGAGCCCTGCGTGGCTGCAGCCTTCACCTGAGCACTCTGCTTCACCATCTTCCCCCCTCCCCGCTGCTGAACACACAGGTTTGGCATCAACACGGGATACTGAAATCATGTGTGGTGCAATGAAATCCCTTCCTCCTCGTCCCACACCTCTAAGCCATTCCATCCACACTCTGCTCAAGTGCATATTGCGCTTTTTCTCATGAAAAAACTATTAGCCCCCCATCACCGAGCTCACACTCCCCAGGCTGGGACCCTCCTGCTTCCCCTCTCAGCACCAGCAGGGTCTCCTCCTCCCAGGGGCAGAGCATCCCCTCTGCACAGCCACGCGCCCGGCAACAGGAGCCACCCAATTCATAAAATAAAAGGCCAATATTGGCTTTACAGCAAAAAATGTGTAGCTATTAAAAGCTTTAACGATTTGAAAGCCAAGTACTTGTTAGGTCAGCAGTAAGACAAATGCACCCCCAAATTCTTTCTATTTAAATATATTCCTGACTAATTTTTCTTGACTTTTCAAACACCGATTTGTTTCTGAAGAGCATCTCAGCTGCTCCACTCGGCAGCTACAAAGATAACCTCCTCTCCTCTTCAGTGTCCTCTTCCCTTCAACGCTGTCCTTTAAACTGGTGCACAAGCCCTTCCCCTCTTCCCTTCCTCCACCTCTTTTTTTTTCCTGCAGCTGAATTTATCTTTAGGAAAAAAAATGACAAAGAATAATCGTGTTTCCCATGTTCTGGCACACATTAGCGATTAAGGCTCTAGGGCCCAGTGAGGGGATTTTAATTTGCTTTTAAGTTTTAGGCAGTGAAGTTGATGAAAATCAATAAATCATTAAGTTCACATATTTATAAATAGTTCTCATGCTGCTGTCAAACTGCCCAGATGCAGATAATTGCTGATGCTTTCTGCCTCCCTCGGCTGGCTGTACTCAGTGCCTCAGAAAAACAAACTGGAATGCAAAAATCGAGCTCCCAAACAAAATACCCCCCCAGCCCCGTGTGCCACAGAGAGAGGGGACAGCTCTGGCTGGGCACAGGCACTGCCAGCAGCACGGCCACCCCCCCATGGCCACGGACACACAGACACTGCCCCACAGACACAGACACCGCCCCGGTGCCCCCCGAGGAAGAACTTGCCTGTCCCGATGATCCTCTCAATTTTAATACTAGCATTATCCAGCTCTTTGGCAAAGAGGTGCACGGCCTGCATGGGGTCTTCACAAGTGTCCGGGTCGATGTACGTCCTCCTGGTTGGTATTTTAACTGCAGGGAAGGAAAAGGCACAAAAAGTGTGTGATAAAGGCTCAGCAGAGCTCCCACCCGCCTGTCCCGGGGAATGCTCTCCCAGGTCACACATCCTCAGGTCTGCTGGCAGAACTCACTTGCCACCTTCTTATAAGCAAAGCAGAAAGACTCAGCTTTAAGGTTGCTAGGAAATTTTTTGTGGGTTTAAATGAACCTAATCGCTCTGCTTCATGGCCACAACCTCCATGTTAAAGGAGAGCAGCTCCTCCACCCTAGTGCAGCTCCCCCCAGGACTGAGCCTGTCTGCCTCCCAGGCTAATCCTCCAGTCCCCCAACCATCTCCACTCCCAACACCTCTAGGAGAGATCATTATCATCACGAACAGCAGCAGCCATGTTCCAGGTCCCTGGATTAACAGCACGGGCAGCAAAATACCTCCTGGCCGAGCTGCATCCGAGAAGCACGTGGGCTCTGCTGCTTCCGAGATGCTTCAGGGAGCAGAAGAGCACGTCTGCGCTCCACGGGCATATGCCAGGAATCAAATAAACTCATCAATCCTGACGTCTGAATTTCCTTTGACAAGGGTTGTCTGTAAAATTATCGCTGCTCACTAATCAAGAGTAGCCCCAGAAAACAAAGCTGTGTTCTCACGTAGCCGTTTGTGCAAAGCCAACAGAATAATTCATACGCCCCGTGAAATGCTGAAAGCCCTTTCCTCGGGCAGGGCAGTGACCCGTGGGCAGGAAGGATGGACACCCGCTGATGGAGCTGTCAAGCCCACGGTCCCCGGGGAGCTGAGCTGTGCTGAGCCCCTGCTCCGGGATAACGTGGGATGACAGCCCTTCAAAAGCACGGGTTCAGGGTGGCTTTATGAGGAGCTGGGTTATTAATAGCAATAAATACAGGCTCCCCACACTGTTGTACCCACCACAGCGGCCAGGCTTCACTTACAGTGGAAGTAGAGCTCCTCGTCCCCGTCCTGGCTGGCTTTGCTGTACCCACACTGCCTGCACGGAGAAGGAATCACAGAATCACAAAATCTTAGTGGTTGGAAGGGACCTCCGAGATCATTGAGTCCAACCACAAAAAAAAAAAAGAAAAAAAGAAAAACCCCCCAAAAAACACACACCCCCCACAAAAACAACAAACCCAAAACCACCACCCACCAACTAAACCCCACAGCCCAGGCACACACCGTTACGGGGGCTGTGAGCTGGGGGGCAGAGTCAGCCCCACGGCAGGGCAGGCAGGGGCAGCTCAGCCCAGGGACCCCCCCAGAGCCCCACCTCGGACCCCCCCCCCCTGCCCAGCCCCACACCTCTCGGTGTGCCCCGTCTCGGCCGCAGCCCCCCTCACCTCCTCCAGACCATGACGCCGATCACCATGGACACCAGCACCGTCAGCCCCGCGATGGCCACCACCGCGATGATGAGGACGGGGTTCTGCTCGCTGGAGGCCACTGTCACTGCAGGAGGGGACACAGAGTGGGTCAGCAACATGGCTTGGGGTAAGAGCAAGGCTGGGGGCAGCCCTGGACACCACTCTGGGTGCCAGCCTGTGTCCTCCAGCAAGGACAGGCTACCCACAGCACCAGGGTACACAGCAATTTACATTCCAGCTCAGTTTGAAGAGCTGGAGCTGGTGCAACCAGACCAAGGTGTGGGGCAGTGGGGATGGAGCAGCCCCCGTGCCACCCCCCCAGCCTGGCTGTGTCAGCACTGAGGAAAGGCTCCCCGTTTGTCAGAGGGACGTATTAAAATTTATGGCTTACAAATAGTTTTCCTACATCACATTAATCCCTTCCCTTCTGGCTTTCGCAAACAGGGGTATTAGAAAGCTACATTCTATATAAAATTTTTATTGGCTTCAATTCGTTCTGAAAATGTCTTCTGTGTGGCAAACGGATGCAATTTAAAGCCCTGTTAAACACAATCTGTGAGAGTCGCAGTGAGCCAGCCATCTCGGGGCGTTCATTCCGAGCCAGGGTGGGTTATTAAGCTGAAGCCCAACCATCTCTCCGAGCTCTTTTTAGTCAGTGAAATAAGATGCTTCTGGACCGCGGTTACGAATGGAAACCGTGCAAAGGAAAAGCCCCAGCAAACAGCACTGACGCTGGCTGACCTTACCCAGTGTCCCGGTTTGAGGTAAAACCGGATCAATTTTGTGTTCTGTAACTTTGCATTTTAGTTAGGCCTTTTCTAACTCTCTGAAATTAACGGCATATTGTGGAGAAAACTGTTCCTTCTCAGAGTGATAAGACCAATGTTTGTGCTACGTGCCAGGGAATGGCGTGCAGAGAGGCCCTTGCTTATACTTATTGCTGTAACAACCAAGGTCAGCCAATTTTCGTTATTTGCCCCTTAGAGGGTCGGAAACGGAAAAACGTAGAGGGGTCACATCTGTGGGGAGGAACAGACAAGACAGGTGACCCAAACCTGACCAACAGGGGTATTCCATCCCATCTGCCCCATGCTCAGTGTAAAAGCTGAGGGATCAAAGGGTCAACTCTCTTCCTGCAATGGCCGACGTCCGAAGAGGACCCTGTCTGTTCGTCTGCCTTTGATCCCCATGTGTTCCTGACTCCAGAGCTGGAATCCTGCTCCTGTCCATCACCGAGTCCAGTCTGGGACTTCCCCAGTGCCTGCTGGTGACGGGACTGTCATCCTGGGAGCTTGATACGGTTTTGTATATATGTTGTATCTATTTCATTATTTTCTTCTCTTTTATTTTAATATTATTTTTGATTAAAGTAGTTTAGTTAATTCTAAACTTTTCAATGTCCTTATCTCTTCCTCTCCTCTTTCGGGGGGGGGGGGAAGGGCCATCTCTTGGTTCGGTTGCGGTGATTTCAGCTGAAACCACGACACCCAGCCAAGTGGCCAACAAGCCAAGTGCCTCCTGAGCCTGGAGAGCGGGGGTGAGCAACCACCTCCTGCCTGGGACACACATCCCTGGAGCTCCAGGCTGGCTCTGCCTCCTGCCCCAGCCTGTGTGACCGGACCCCCCATCCCTGCAGCACCCACTGGGGGCTGTGCAGCTTTGGGACCCTGCCCTCAGCAATTGGTACAAAGCTTTTACGCAAACATTTCAAAAACAGGCTTTTTTCTGCTGATGTTTTTTTTTTTAAAAAGAAATAAACCAATCTAGAAACTCTGTGTTTGTCCAGTCAATAATAAATCAAAGAATCAGCAGCTGAAAACTTAGTGCATAGCCTGAAATCAGATACAACGGAATTACTGCCAACCCTCAGGAAAGCCAGAAAGCCAAATGCCAGTGGATTTTTTTCCCTGTCTCCAAAAGAAAACTGTATTATCTATCAGTGAAAAGGAATCCAGCTCTGACCACGGCCGTAAACTGCACGGCACAGGAAGAGACAGAGACCAAGATAAATAATTATGACCCCGTTAAAGGATTTATGAACAAAACTCAATATGACAAAACTCTACTCAGTTGGTCCCTCAGGGACCAACACTCACCCCCTGCCAGCGCCTGCCTGGTGGCCCCATGGAAAGGACGTGGTGAGACCTGTTCAGCCCCATCATCGTTGCAAGGCAGAGCCACCCCCTGTCACTCTGGCTCTGCTCAGCAACTTCTGGGGCCACCCCAGGCAAGGAGCAGAGACTCTGTCCCCAGACAGTGTGACACAGCAGCTGGAGAGCAGCCACCCTCACCGATGCTGCGCCGAGAGGAGCGAGGACAGACACCCCCAGGACAGACAGGACAGCAGTACCAACCTTGTTGAAACCAAATATGAAAATGCAATTAAAAGCGAGTCCTGGGAAGCACCTGCTCTTAAACCTGGAGCAGCAGAACCAGAGGAACAGATGCTGCTCCAGGAAACCAGGAGCATCTGGGGCAGTGTCCCCGTGACTCAGCTCAGAGCTCTCGTGCCTGCAGGTGTGTGAGAGACGAGCCCTGCCAACACTCACACTCCGCCAGCGTCTCCACCTCGATACTCGGGCTGTAGTTCCCGTACTCCGGCGAGGAGGATGTTCGGATTTGGAAAATATAGAGGGTGCCAGGCTTCAGGTTATTGACCGTCACGGCTTTTGATGTGGTTTTCACAGTCGAGTAACTTTCGAAACCAGGAGCATCTGGGGCAGCTTCCCTGTGACTCAGCTCAGAGCTTTTGTGCCTGCAGGTGTGTGAGAGACGAGCCAACACTCACACTCCGCCAGTGTCTCCACCTCGATACTCGGGCTGTAGTTCCCGTACTCCGGCGAGGAGGATGTTCGGATTTGGAAAATATAGAGGGTGCCAGGCTTCAGGTTATTGACCGTCACGGCTTTTGATGTGGTTTTCACAGTCGAGTAACTTTGATCTCTCTGATCCTGCGAAATAACGAAATACCTGAGATGGAGTGGGGCTGGGAGCCGCGGAGCGGGCAGAGCTCAGCTGGATCCTCACCTCACCCCTGGGCCCCACCAGGGCACTCCATCCAAACATAAACCGTCTACAGAAAGAATACATTTATAGGTGTCTCATTAATAGAAATTACACAGAGAGATCTCATGAAACGGCAGATGGAGCCCGATGATGTGCTATGAAGACGGGAGGGGACAAGGCAGTGGGGAGCAGCTGTGTCACCCCACACAGACCCTCTCCCCACGCTGGGGCTCGGCTGCTTCATCCGGCCTCATCCCACTCCCTGCCCCGGTGTAAATACACAGGCATTGGCACATGCTGAGTGACCAAAGCTGGCAGCCAGATCTGCCAACAGTCCTGTTCCCTGGGATGTTCTTCACTTGCCCAGTGACCTCCAGCTCCCTCTGCTTCGACTGAGGGAGAGGGTGAGGGGCAGCCAAGCTCCTGCAGCCGCTGGAGGCAGGGCAGGCCAGGGGGACCACTGGGCATCTTGCCCCACTTTCACGTGCCCCTCCGCTCTGCACCCCACAGTTTGCAAATCAGAACAAGCCCCAGCCCTCCCAGGAGCTCCCAAAAACCTTCCCCACCATCGGAGGCATTTCCTCAGCCGTGTTGGGAACTTCCCAACAAACTCCCTGGCAAGAAGAGGAGCTGGTGCTGCCACGGTCCTGGACTTGGTTTATCTGAGCCCACTTTCCCCCAGGAGAGGGGCCACGTCACGTCCCGTGGCCTCAGCAGCAGCCTCTGGGATCCCAGACCGTGTGCTGTGCCCAGAGACCAGCCCTGACCAGTGTCCCAGCCCCACGACCCAGCACAGGTTCTTCATCGCTCCACTCCCAGGGCCAGGGACATATTTCCCATTTGATACGCTCTTCCCCTCAAATCTCCACAGTTAAAGTACATCTTTAAGAGCAAAGAGTAGGAACTAGGTTGGTTTCCACGTCAGCATCAAGAGCCTAATTTCAGTGAATAATTGCTGAACTCTAGTTCGAATTCCCTAGCCAAGCAAGACGTTTCCTCATTCCATATACCCCGAGTATCTCGTTGCTGCAGCCCATTTGCACAGGAATTACTGTTTGAGGCTTCAGCGTTCGCCCTCACCCACAGATTCCTCCTTTCAAATCTATCAGATGCTGAAAATCACATTAATATGAATCAGTTTCAAGGTAGCTTGTTTCTAAATACAGAACACCAACATGTCACCTGCACAGTTTGCCTGACATGTAATCAGTTTCATAACGAGCCTGAGCACACGCAGATAAGGTAATTTGCGGAACTGTGTCATAAACTGCATTTATTTTGATTTAGAGCATTGTCCCCGCTCTCTGCCCAGTAGTATTTCTTCTAAAATCCTCAGCTCACTGCACCCATCAAATAGCAGCTATTTTTAAAATTAGGAGACTGTCATCAAAATGTTTGCTGTGTCCCCTCCTGTGTGTAAGACCACTCACAGCTCACCGAAGTCACGGGTTTGGTGGCCCTCAGCCCTACACCAGCCAAGGCCACAAGGTCCAACGCTCTCCCAGAGCAGGCTACAGATACAGGTGTCATCTCATCAGAGATTTAGAAACCCTGTACAGTTCAGCAGTCCCTGGCTGGCTAATGGCAAACACCCAAACCTCAGATTTCTGATGTCCTTGAAAAAAGCCATCCAGTGCATGAAAAAAAAATAAAAAATGAATGAATGAAAATTATTAGCTTTACTCTTTATCCCAGGGAGATGTCAACATTATGCATAGAAAAAAATAAAAATGAATGAATGAAAATTGTTAGCCTTACTCTTTATCCCAGGGAGATGTCAACATTAGGACTGGATGAAATCTTGCTGCACAGATTGGGGGAGGAAAAAGCCGCTAATCAACGTAAACTCTACAAATAATCCAAATTTCCTGTAACTTGCATAAACAGACACACTGTCAGAGGTGAAAAGAGCTTATTGGCCCCCGTAGGAAGGGCTCCTCTCACTCTCAGCTCAGGGACAGCAGCACCGTCCCCGGCCACGCGCGCCCTTCCCCTCCCCACGGTGGCTGAGCGTGACGGTGACCTGTTGGCACCGGCAGCACCGCGATGCCAGGACAGACCCGGTGGCCAGGGGAGCCCCCGCAGCCGAGCCACCCCCCGAGCCTACCATCTCATGAAACGGCAGATGGAGCCCGATGATGTGCTATGAAGACGGGAGGGGACAAGGCAGTGGGGAGCAGCTGTGTCACCCCACACAGACCCTCTCCCCACGCTGGGGCTCGGCTGCTTCATCCGGCCTCATCCCACTCCCTGCCCCGGTGTAAATACACAGGCATTGGCACATGCTGAGTGACCAAAGCTGGCAGCCAGATCTGCCAACAGTCCTGTTCCCTGGGATGTTCTTCACTTGCCCAGTGACCTCCAGCTCCCTCTGCTTCGACTGAGGGAGAGGGTGAGGGGCAGCCAAGCTCCTGCAGCCGCTGGAGGCAGGGCAGGCCAGTGGGACCACTGGGCATCTCGCCCCGTTTTCACGTGCCCCCCCGCCTCTGCACCCCGTGGTTTGCAAAGCAGAACAAGCCCCAGCCCTCCCAGGAGCTCCCAAAAACCTTCCCCACCATCGGAGGCATTTCCTCAGCCGTGTTGGGAACTTCCCAACAAACTCCCTGGCAAGAAGAGGAGCTGGTGCTGCCACGGTCCTGGACTTGGTTTATCTGAGCCCACTTTCCCCCAGGAGAGGGGCCACGTCACGTCCCGTGGCCTCAGCAGCAGCCTCTGGGATCCCAGACCGTGTGCTGTGCCCAGAGACCAGCCCTGACCAGTGTCCCAGCCCCACGACCCAGCACAGGTTCTTCATCGCTCCACTCCCAGGGCCAGGGACATATTTCCCATTTGATACGCTCTTCCCCTCAAATCTCCACAGTTAAAGTACATCTTTAAGAGCAAAGAGTAGGAACTAGGTTGGTTTCCACGTCAGCATCAAGAGCCTAATTTCAGTGAATAATTGCTGAACTCTAGTTCGAATTCCCTAGCCAAGCAAGACGTTTCCTCATTCCATATACCCCGAGTATCTCGTTGCTGCAGCCCATTTGCACAGGAATTACTGTTTGAGGCTTCAGCGTTCGCCCTCACCCACAGATTCCTCCTTTCAAATCTATCAGATGCTGAAAATCACATTAATATGAATCAGTTTCAAGGTAGCTTGTTTCTAAATACAGAACACCAACATGTCACCTGCACAGTTTGCCTGACATGTAATCAGTTTCATAACGAGCCTGAGCACACGCAGATAAGGTAATTTGCGGAACTGTGTCATAAACTGCATTTATTTTGATTTAGAGCATTGTCCCCGCTCTCTGCCCAGTAGTATTTCTTCTAAAATCCTCAGCTCACTGCACCCATCAAATAGCAGCTATTTTTAAAATTAGGAGACTGTCATCAAAATGTTTGCTGTGTCCCCTCCTGTGTGTAAGACCACTCACAGCTCACCGAAGTCACGGGTTTGGTGGCCCTCAGCCCTACACCAGCCAAGGCCACAAGGTCCAACGCTCTCCCAGAGCAGGCTACAGATACAGGTGTCATCTCATCAGAGATTTAGAAACCCTGTACAGTTCAGCAGTCCCTGGCTGGCTAATGGCAAACACCCAAACCTCAGATTTCTGATGTCCTTGAAAAAAGCCATCCAATGCATAGAAAAAAATAAAAATGAATGAATGAAAATTGTTAGCCTTACTCTTTATCCCAGGGAGATGTCAACATTAGGACTGGATGAAATCTTGCTGCACAGATTGGGGGAGGAAAAAGCCGCTAATCAACGTAAACTCTACAAATAATCCAAATTTCCTGTAACTTGCATAAACAGACACACTGTCAGAGGTGAAAAGAGCTTATTGGCCCCCGTAGGAAGGGCTCCTCTCACTCTCAGCTCAGGGACAGCAGCACCGTCCCCGGCCACGCGCGCCCTTCCCCTCCCCACGGTGGCTGAGCGTGACGGTGACCTGTTGGCACCGGCAGCACCGCGATGCCAGGACAGACCCGGTGGCCAGGGGAGCCCCCGCAGCCGAGCCACCCCCCGAGCCTACCTTCTCGTAGTACTTGACCTCGTACTCGGTGCCGTTGGGGGCCGGGAAGCCCGGCTCCTGCCACGACAGGGAGATGCTCTTCTGCTCAACTTTATCCGCGCGGATGTCAGTGATGGGAGCTGGCGCTGAAAAAGCAGAGGAAAGCAGCTGTGACCATATTGCTGCCAGGGCAGAGAATCCCCCTGCTCTCCCTGCCACTGATAGCACCCAAGCCCCCCCCCAGAAGCCCATCCACCCGGCCAGAGCCTTGGGGACACGGCCAGTGACACCCCGTGCCACCACCCTTTGGTTGCTCTCATCCTGGACAGGCCAAGTGCAACCAGGAGATCACACGTCACAAGGTGTTTTATCTCTGTCCTCACATTCCCCTTGGCTGTGAAACCCACGTCAGCTCAAAGGTGCTCAGTGGTTACTCCGTTTCTGCTTCTGCCCTGGGATGGCAGAGTAAAAACTTTAACAATTTAAGCAGCTGAAGATCACGCTGCTTCTGCAGATACCAGTTCCCTCTCTCTGAATCAGGACTGTAACTCCAAGCTGGTGATCATCCAACGGGAGAAGATGTTGGTAAAAACACAACAGCTTTGTAATCTGTGGGCAGCTAGTAACGTTCTATCCAGAAACAAGCAAAAAAACCCCTAATTACACCCTCCACCCACAGTGCCACGGAGGGGTCTGAGCAGTGGCACACGTCCAGCGCTCTGAACCTGCTGCTAAGGATTCCTGGCAAAGGCAAAACACAGTCTTCAAGCAGCAGGGCTTGTAGGACATCCCAAGGCTTCTCCAGCCACCCTGGCACAGGCTCTGCCCCGCGGCATCCCAGGAGCTGGGGCACGGGGAGCTGCCTGCCCTGTCTGCTGCCAAACGCACCGGCTCACCCAGGAGCCAGCTGATTATTTCTGGTTACCTCATGCTCCGTGCTGAGCCCTCCTCCCTGGCACGTGTGCTCCCGTTTAGTTCATCTCACCGTGCAAGATGCACTTGCCAACTATTCCCATTTTACCCAGTTTGGCTCCACATGAGCTGACTTCTCCAGTGCAGCACGGGCAGCTCCACTGTCCCCGGCCGTCCCCAGGCTCCACACCTGACGGTGACACCCATGCTGTCCATGGCAGCAGAGGTGGCCCTGCCTGTCCTGTCCTGCCACGCTCATCTCTGCATCTCCAGAGCCTCCTCCATGCCCTCTCCTCCTCTGACCAACCACCTTCTCCTGCCTCCAAGCCGCCCAGCAGCTCGGTGCCTGCTCAGCTCCCGCAGCAGCACTGCCTGCACCAGGCTCCCTGCCCCCAGGCAGCGCCCCAGCAGCTCCTCCGAAAGCACCAGCAGAAGAGCCAGCTGGACCTCCCAGACTCTGTGGCATCTCCAGAGCCAGCCAAGGACACGGCATCCCCCGACTGCCCCGAGCAAGGCAGTGGCGGCTGCTGGGGACAGGCTAGGACATCAGCTGCAAAGATGCCATCCACGACAGACACAGAGTATTTTAGCAGGAAAAATAAAGTTCATACCTGGTACATCTATTAGACCCCCTTGTTCTGCTTTGGGTTGATTAGAGAGAAAATGAGGACTGATTCACAGAATCTTCTAGGTTGGAAGGGACCTTAAAGATCATCTTGTCCAACCGTCAACCTAACTTTGACAAAAATAGACACCCACACAACAAACAAGGAGCATCATCACTAAACCATACCTCCCAGCACTACATCAACCCCTCTTTTGAACACCTCCAGGGATGGGGCCTCAACCCCCTCCCTGGGCAGCCCATTCCAAGGGCTGAGAACCCTTTCAGGGAAAAAATTTTTCCTAATATCCAGCCTGAACCTCCCCTGGCGCAACTTGAGGCCCTCCGCCAGTGTCTCCACCTCGATACTCGGGCTGTAGTTCCCGTACTCCGGCGAGGAGGATGTTCGGATTTGGAAAATATAGAGGGTGCCAGGCTTCAGGTTATTGACCGTCACGGCTTTTGATGTGGTTTTCACAGTCGAGTAACTTTGATCTCTCTGATCCTGCGAAATAACGAAATACCCGAGATGGAGTGGGGCTGGGAGCCGCGGAGCGGGCAGAGCTCAGCTGGATCCTCACCTCACCCCTGGGCCCCACCAGGGCACTCCATCCAAACATAAACCATCCACGGAAAGAATACATTTATAGGTGTCTCATTAATAGAAATTACACAGAGAGGTCTCATGAAACAGCAGATGGAGCCCAATGATGTGCTATGAAGACAGGGGGGGACAAGGTGGTGGGGAGCAGCTGTGTCACCCCACACGGACCCTCTCCCTGCACTGGGGCTCGGCTGCTTCGTCCGGCCCCGTCCCGCTCCCTGCCCCGGTGTAAATACACAGGCATTGGCACATGCTGAGTGACCAAAGCTGGCAGCCAGATCTGCCAACAGTCCTGTTCCCTGGGATGTTCTTCACTTGCCCAGTGACCTCCAGCTCCCTCTGCTTCGACTGAGGGAGAGGGTGAGGGGCAGCCAAGCTCCTGCAGCCGCTGGAGGCAGGGCAGGCCAGGGGGACCACTGGGCATCTTGCCCCACTTTCACGTGCCCCTCCGCTCTGCACCCCACAGTTTGCAAATCAGAACAAGCCCCAGCCCTCCCAGGAGCTCCCAAAAACCTTCCCCACCATCGGAGGCATTTCCTCAGCCGTGTTGGGAACTTCCCAACAAACTCCCTGGCAAGAAGAGGAGCTGGTGCTGCCACGGTCCTGGACTTGGTTTATCTGAGCCCACTTTCCCCCAGGAGAGGGGCCACGTCACGTCCCGTGGCCTCAGCAGCAGCCTCTGGGATCCCAGACCGTGTGCTGTGCCCAGAGACCAGCCCTGACCAGTGTCCCAGCCCCACGACCCAGCACAGGTTCTTCATCGCTCCACTCCCAGGGCCAGGGACATATTTCCCATTTGATACGCTCTTCCCCTCAAATCTCCACAGTTAAAGTACATCTTTAAGAGCAAAGAGTAGGAACTAGGCCCAGGAGCTGGGGCACGGGGAGCTGCCTGCCCTGTCTGCTGCCAAACGCACCGGCTCACCCAGGAGCCAGCTGATTATTTCTGGTTACCTCATGCTCCGTGCTGAGCCCTCCTCCCTGGCACACGTGCTCCCGTTTAGTTCATCTCGCTGTGCAAGATGCACTTGCCAACTATTCCCATTTTACCCAGTTTGGCTCCACACGAGCTGACTTCTCCAGTGCAGGCTCCAGGCTCTGCGCCTGACCCGTGCTGTCCATGGCAGCAGAGGTGGCCCTGCCTGAGCTGACTTCTCCAGTGCAGCACGGGCAGCTCCACTGTCCCCGGCCGTCCCCAGGCTCCACACCTGACGGTGACACCCATGCTGTCCATGGCAGCAGAGGTGGCCCTGCCTGTCCTGTCCTGCCACGCTCATCTCTGCATCTCCAGAGCCTCCTCCGTGCCCTCTCCTCCTCTGACCAACCACCTTCTCCTGCCTCCAAGCCGCCCAGCAGCTCGGTGCCTGCTCAGCTCCCACAGCAGCACTGCCCACACCAGGCTCCCTGCCCGCAGGCAGCACCCCAGCAGCTCCTCCGAAAGCACCAGCAGAAGAGCCAGCTGGACCTCCCAGACTTTGTGGCATCTCCAGAGCCAGCCAAGGACACGGCATCCCCCGACTGCCCCGAGCAAGGCAGTGGCGGCTGCTGGGGACAGGCTAGGACATCAGCTGCAAAGATGCCATCCACGACAGACACAGAGTATTTTAGCAGGAAAAATAAAGTTCATACCTGGTACATCTATTAGACCCCCTTGTTCTGCTTTGGGTTGATTAGAGAGAAGATGAGGACTGATTCACAGAATCTTCTAGGTTGGAAGGGACCTTAAAGATCATCTTGTCCAACCGTCAACCTAACTTTGACAAAAATAGACACCCACACAACAAACAAGAAGCATCATCACTAAACCATACCTCCCAGCACTACATCAACCCGTCTTTTGAACACCTCCAGGGATGGTGCCTCCACCACCTCCCTGGGCAGCCCATTCCAAGGGCTGAGAACCCTTTCAGGGAAAAAATTTTTCCTAATATCCAGCCTGAACCTCCCCTGGCGCAACTTGAGGCCATTTCCTCTCGTCCTGTTGCCTGTGACTTGAGAGAAGAGACCGACCCCCACCTCTCTACACCCTCCTTTCAGGGAGTTGTAGAGAGCAATAAGGTCTCCCCTCAGCCTCCTCTTCTCCAGGCTGAACACCCCCAGCTCCCTCGGCCTCTCCTCTTAAGACAGAAGGGTGGTCCCAGGTCACCCCAGAAAGCACCAGGGGCCAGAACCCACCAGGGTGAAGGGGCTGCAGTGACCAATGCACCCGCTCACACCAGCAGCCCCCCAGCAGGCACAGGAAAATGGGCTGTTTCTCGCTTGTCCCTCTGCTCCATCACATCAGGACGTTTGCTGGACCCTGACCACCCCACCGGGACTCCTGCGGAGAGGAACAAGTCCCTGGAAAGCAAACTTAAGTATCTGTGAAATTTTGTATTTATTACTTAGCTCATTAATCTCTGCTGGAGAAAAAAGCCCTCCTGATGTTTTATTCATGATGATTTGCTCCTTGATTCCAAATCCCTTCAGCTTCTGCTGAAGGAGCGAGAGGACCCGAGGGGCAGCCGGGAGCCCCCGCACGCCCCTGCAGTCTGGCTGCACGTCATCCCCCATTCCCAAAAATCATTCTCCAGGTAAATACACTGGCCCCAGAGCTGGGCTTTAAGGGGATCTTGAATTGTCCAGATGTAAAGAAGAGGGAGACAGCCCACCCCAGCAGAAAGGTTATTAACTCTCCCCCCAGGCCAAGCAGGACACAACCCCCCGGGCAGCTGCACCATGAACCACACTGGCCTCAGAGCTGGGCTTTAAGGGGATCTTGAATTGTCCAGATGTAAAGAAGAGGGAGACAGCCCACCCCAGCAGAAAGGTTATTAACTCTCCCCCCAGGCCAAGCAGGACACAACCCCCCGGGCAGCTGCACCATGAACCCGTGGCACAAACACACCGAGATCTGCCTCTTTCGGGGGCAAAACTGGGAGCACAGAGATCTGCAGGGGCTTCCACAGGGTGACCCTCTCCTACAGGAACCATGCAGTCAGGCTGGCAGCTCTCAGGGCTGGGGGAGTGGGGAGATCCCTGCCACGACACCCCAGTTCGTGGCACCACAAGTGACGGGGGCGGCCGAGGCCAGACGGGTGTTTAACTGGGGTTTTGCTCCTGTAAACTAAGGTAAGTGCTCCTTGCTGTTTTATGTGATTCCATCAATAAAATATCACACAGATGCCCTCCTGTATCTCTGCATCTACCAAACGGACTGAGGAAACCCGAACAAGTGTCCTGACTGTTAACAGAGCCAGGGGGAGAAATCACACTCACTTAGTGATGGGCTGTAGAGCAGAACCCATGGTACAAGCCAGAAAAGCAGGCAGGTGCTAGCCTCAAACATGTTTAAAAGGGATTAAAGAAAATCACACGGACTATAAAGCATTTCACACTGTGAAAAAAATGTGTTTCCTATCAATATTTTAAGCTCCCCTAACATTGCCTCTACTCTGAAAAAGCAAACATTAAATTATTCACCACTCTGCCTGATTTTATAAACTCCACTCCGTTGTATGTGGGTTTACTCCTCTTAATTAACCAGTGTACAAGCAGAAAAGGCATAAAACTAGATGTGGGCACCGTGCCCCTCCACTAAATGACCCGAAACCCGAAGGGGGTCACTAGAGAGGGACAACAGCAAGCACTTAGAGCTGGAGCTGGACCAGGGGAGCCTGTGGCCCCACAGTGGGAAGAGCCCCTTTGGTGCCCAGTGTCTGCAGGAACCCTCTCCCCACATGTTCGCAGAGCTGGGACACAGCAAATGAGAGCAGACCACGACCCGTCACCGTGCCCACTGCTCCCTGCAATCGGATGGCCAGAGCTTGCCATCGTCCCCAAGCCCCTCTGCCACCTTGCCCCACACACTGCTCGCTCTGGGGACAGCCAGCCTCCCCCCTCTGCCCCCAGTTATTAACCCCCCAACAGGGAAAACACACCGGGCACCGTCCCAGGCAACTCCTGCCCCAAGGTCCTTCTTTCCAAACTGGAAAAGCAGCTCATGGGGTTACCCTGCAGCTCCTCCCAGAGCCTGGTTCTCACTGCATGGAAGGCAGAGACCCCTGGAGCACAGACCCTCACCCCAACATCAGCTCATCCTGTGCCCCCCCACCCCGTGCTGGCATCATCCCATCAGCAACAAGCGCTCCCAGAGAAATCTGCTTGGGAGACCTAATTCAGCACAAACTTCCTTCTCCCCAGTCTCAGGAAGGAGAAGGCATTTCGGCACCCGCTGCATTATTAATCTGCAACAGATTTCAAAGCCCTTTAAGACAGGAGCCGATCCCTGCCGGGAATACAAATGACACGGTCCCAGAGCGCACATTTGCATAGCTAATGCAGCCCCGCTCCTGCAGGTAAACAGCTCCATTCTCTCCTCAAACACTTTTATTTAGTTCCATGCTGGGGCCGGATTAGAAAAAACACAGTATTAATTTTGCATCCCGCAGACTAAATAGCATCTTTTCCTTTTTGCCTGCAAATACAACAAACAAGGGCTAATTCCCTCTTGTGACAGCTGAAGCAGACGGGCAGCGCGAGGGCTGCACCCAGAGCTGTATTTAGAGGAGCGGGGACCTGACAGCTAAATAGGGTCTTGTTTCTTCATTTAATTTTTCCTCTGACTCTGCATATCTGCAGGTGACCTCTGAGGCCACCGCATCGCAGCCACCCAGGGAGTCACCGCGGCTTCAGGCATCCCTCAAGTCTCCCTTTCTCCTGATCCCCAGCCCCATCAGGGTCTTCTCTGATGGGCTTCTACGCCAAGGGCTGCCAGCCGTGCCACCACATCCTATGGCACAGGGTGCCCTCCCAGCCACAGCCCCCCTCGCCCCCGAGGGTCTCACCCCAGAGGGGTGTCACAGGCAAACCAGACTGAGAAGCATCCCCCCAGGAGATGTCCTCCTTCCCCTCTCTGCCAACAGGCACAGGTCAATCATCACTGTCACTTGTTGCCCGCACAGCACCAAAGCCAGAGGAACCGGGGGCACCTGGGCAAGGAGCAGCCCCCCTGGGGGGGGACACCTTCAGCAGCAAAACACTCAAGTGTTCCATGAAACTTCCCGAGCCTCAGCTGCTCAGCTAATTCTGCGCCACCATCTGCATCTGGAGACTTGACAGCTCGACAAGAGACATTGATTTGGAACAGATTACAAGATTAATTATGCCATATTCTTTATGCGCATTTCAGTCCCTTCGGGAGTTCAAAGTGTGGAGCCAGGGCTGAGAGTCCCACCTTCCCAGGAGAAAAGCTGCATTCAACGGCCAAGTGGCTGAGGCACAGGGTGGCATCACCCACTTGTTGCTTCGCTCCCTGCGGAGGACGGGGCACTTGCTGCCCTTCCCAGCCTCCTGTCCCACCTCAGACCTGAAGCTCCAGGCGAGGAGGCAGCTCCCAAGCACCCATTCCTCTGCCCAACATGAGCCTGTGGAGGAACAGCTCGTTATGAAGACCTCGTTAAGCCCACCCCTCCCTAACCTGTGTGCTGGCTCAGGAATAGCCTCAGCTCAGGAGACAGAAGATCTTCCCAGGGCTAAATCCATCCCTAAACAGCAAAGATCCTAATGAGGACTGACACCTCTGCTGAAGAGCGGTCTGTGGCACAGCATCCACCCAACGGATCCACAGAAATTATTACATGAGGGAAGAGAAAGCAACAACACGCACAAAAACATTTGATCAAATGGGGGGAAAATTATTTATAACAAGATCAAAGCTTAATCTCTTCAGATGAAATTGTTGGCCAATTCCTGCCACAAGGTACGTGAGGATCATCTGTCTCCATTGACCGTGGCTTGGCAAAGGGATTTCATGCAAATTAATAACGTAACCACAGAGGAACAGACAAGGACACAACAAGCCAGAGCCGATTCTCCTCAGGCACAGCTAAAAACCAGGGAGGGACCAAACCCCCCCGGCCCCATCCACGCAGGCTGGGGGCTCGCTCCCCCCACACGAGGGAACAGAACTGTGAGACAGAGCAGAAGGGGACACTTACAGAGAGAAATTGTGCCACAGACTGGCACAGAAGAGAGAGACCAAATCAATATTTTCTGTTTCCAAAGGATAGCCAGTATTTGAATTGTCTATTTTAAGGAGGGCTTTTTTCTGAAGGGGCTGAGAATGTTGCTTCTTTGAAGGCACTTTTTTGCTATTTGTAAACTCAAACCGCAGCCGGGTCACAGAGCAGACTCGTCCCTTCAGAGCCCGGGCTGTCACCACGCTCGCTGCCACCCGGCTGTGAGCCAAAGGGGCACAGCCAGCTCCTCACCCGCCAACTGTGGCACCAACCAAAAACCCCCCAGAGTGCTGCAGGTCGGTCTCCATCTCCCCTCCTGCCCATGCCACCACGTCACCTACCCCTGCTGAGCACCACGTCAGTGCCACCACAGCAAACCAAGAGGAGTCGGGGCACCGGGCAGGCAGAGCCCAAGGCCAGTGCCCGGGCTGTCACCACGCTCACTGCCACCCAGCTGTGAGCCAAGGGGGCCACGGGCTGCCCCGGCACAGCCAGCTCCTCACCCGCCAACCGTGGCACCAACCAAAAACCCCCCAGAGTGCTGCAGGTCGGTCTCCATCTCCCCTCCTGCCCGTGCCACCATGTCACCTGCCACCGCTGAGCGCCACGTCGGTGCCACCGCAGCAAACCGAGAGGAGTCGGGGCATTGGGCAGGCAGAGCCTGGTGCCAACACCACCTCCAGACCCTGCGTCCTCCCAGCGATGAAGCCACAGAACCAGCCGCTGAGCAGACCCTTCCTGCCCGTGCCACCACGTCATCTGCCACCGCTGAGCACCACGTCGGTGCCACCGCAGCAAACCAAGAGGAGTCAGGGCACTGGGCAGGCAGAGCCCGGTGCCAATGCCACCTCCAGACCACACATCCTCCCGGCGACGAAGCCACAGAACCAGCCGCTGAGCAGACCCCCACACCCCAGAGGTGACACCTGAGTGCACAACAGTGCAAGGAACTGCTTTCTCGGTGCAATGGGGGCACTGCTCACCCCCCGTGCCACCTGGCGCCATACCTGCGAGGCCGGTGGAGACGTTGACCTCGGCGTACTGCTGCCCCGGGAGCGGGCTGACGGCCGAGACGCCGTTGAGGGCCACCACGCGGATGGTGTAGTTGACGTGAGGCAGGAGGTTGACCAGGGTGACGGTGCGGTCCACCAGCCCCGTCTGCTGCGGCAGGAAGCCCACGCCGTTGCCGCACTGCTCGCAGCGGCCCCGCAGGGCCGGGGGGCACCGGCCGCACCACAGGCTGTAGGTCAGGTCACTGCGGCCGCCCGCGTCGGCCGGGGCACTCCACTCCAGCACCAGCGAGGACTGCCGCAGGCTGTAGACCAGGTTCCTCGGGGCGGAGGGAGGACCTGGAAGCAGAAGAGGGTCTGGGCACAGGCACCTGGGCAGGAGGGAGAACCAATGGGTCCCCTGGGAGCAGCAGCGCCGGCACCAGTGCCCGAGAGAGAGCGTGGGCCTGGCAGCCACAGCTCGTGGCCGAGCACGGGGACATGAAGGCAGTGATCAGACACCGAGGATCTCAATGGAGGGACACGTTGCACACAGCGAGCCACGGCTCCCACAGCACATGGGAAGTAGCCAGCCAGACCTGTCACCTCTCCAGGGCTCGGTGGCCAAGCAGCCGGGAGCCCCGTGGCTGGTTGGACACTGCCCAGGACCCTCAGGCAAAGCCAGAGCTTCCCCCTCGCTGCGCAGGCAGCTCTACAGCATCCATCACTGGAGTAGCTGGGGTCCAATCCAATTAACTAGAGGCCATTTAATTAAAATCTGCGAACTATATTGACTAAATGACTGTGCCCTAGTTTTACCGGGGAGCCTGCAAGCCTGGCCACGTGTCTCTCATCAGATTGAGACTCATCTGATTGCCTCAGTCCGCAAGCCCCATGGCGTGGGGACAGCCCCCCATCCCTCCCCACCACGGCAGCATCCTAGCATGGGCTGGAACCCACTCGTGCCCAGGCACAGCCCCCGAGGGCTGTGAGGGGACAGCCCCGGGCACCCGTTGGCTCCGCGCTGCAGGAAAACCCAGCGTCTGGATCCCCGATTCCCCACTTTACAAAGAGACAGCATTTCAGCGAGACGCACGTGTGCAGGAGGCAGATGGTGGGTCTGACGGGGACCTGGAGTAGTTCTTCTGGCAGGAACAGAACGTGGAGGCTTCCTCATGCGTGAAGCTGTGCTCAGGGCAAGGAGAGCAGAGAGGGAGACGGAGCGAAAGCTTGTAAAATCCAGGAAGGCAAGCTGAAAAGAGAGAGGGAGTCATGGGAAGGACACCACAAGTGAACGGGGGACACGTTTGACGACTGCATTTCCCCATTTCCCAGGACATCCTTTGCCACTGCCCAGCAGACATCACCCTCCAAGCTGCCTTCCCCAAGCACCTGCGTGATCCTGGCACCAAGAGAGATGGGACACGCGGAGTTTGTCTCAGCTGGGTTTCAACCCAAACAGAACCGCTCACGTTTTGCTTGGCTGCTTCATCTTCTTGGTGTGGTGCTGCTGTCTGCTACCCCTGCACCAGGCCACTGAATATTTAAACTTAATCACTCGTGAAGTTCCTAGATGAGCAGCTCCACTAACGCAGTCCCCTCTCTTCTCATTTTTAAGGAGTTGGCTGCTGAGACTGTTCCTTTTAAAGCAGATTATTCCAGTGCACTCCGGTTCATTAATTTTTAGCATGATATAAAACTGGCAGCTACAGCTGTGATCTGAGGACACAGCTCTAGACACAGCACAGGGTGGAAAGGATCCTTCCCTGGGACGCTGGAAACAGGTGAACATTTGAGAGGAGTTTGTTTCATCTTTAGATCTTTAGAAATTCATCACCTGCAGCCACAGGCGGGAGGGAGCGCGGCGCTGGGGTGAGGTCCCCTCGTGCCCGGCCGCTGGCACACGACAGACAGGGGCTTGGCAGAGCCAAAAACAGCAATGCACAGCAGAGATTTGTGCTTTTCTTACATTACACAGAAAACCTTTCAAGAGCTGCCTAAAAGCCTTGTCCCTGCCAGACAAGATCTTGTGCTGTCGTGTCACCCGAGGCAAGAAAAGCAGCAGATTTGGCCCCCTCAAGCCCATTGCAGTCATGCCCAAGTAATGAAGAGAGACTTCCTCGTAGCCAGAATGGAAATTGCAACTTTCCAATTGATGTGGACTCAATGTTACATTTCTATAGCAAAACTGTACAGTTAAATCGTTAAAACAGAGAATAAAAAATTCCAAAACTTTAAAAAAAAATGAGGGAACCAAAACGAGCATGTTCCTGGGCCCCTCCTGGCTGTGGTTCTACCTGACCCGGACGAGACAAGGCATCTTCGCACACGCTGCCATCGCCCAGGCACCAAGGGCAGCCTCGTCTCCAGGCTCTGGCCAACTGAGCTGGTGGCTGAGCTGGACACGGGGACCCCACAGTGTCAGGGGGGTCCAGAGGCGTTTGTCTGCCCGACCTGCCCATGATGCTGGTACCAGGTGAGACCATCCACGTCCCACAGTCCCCGCTGCGCTCACTGCCTGCAAGGGGAGCCCAGGCACCTCCACCCAGGCAGCGTCTGCAGGGCAGCCAGAGCATCCAGGAGGATTTCTAGGAAACTGTGTGTTTCTAGGAAGAATTATTGATGTTTGTGCCTTGATCTTGCAAAGGCTCAGCAACAGCTGCTGCCAGTGTGGGACCGGAGATCCCGTGGTTCTGCATTCTCCACTCCTGCCTCGCAGTCTGCACATCTCCCACCCCAGACACAGCTAACCTTTAAATGCACGGACTTGACAAACACAACAGAGAAGTAAGATTAAGGCAGCGAGCCACGATGCATAATAAATGTCATTCCCTACCTAGGGTGCCAGATAAAACAGGAAAAAGTAGCGAATGTTTAAATTACTCCCCAAACTTCCACCAGCTTCCTCTTTATATTTGAGAAACCAAACCAAAACCAATGTGACCTTCATGTAACAGAGACACAGTTTGCTTTTTCCTTTAGGTTGGCAGCACTGGCCACCAGCAGCTCGCTGAAGGTCCCGATGGCTGGCACAGGGCACAGCAGGAGCCCTCCCAGCGGGGAGAACCCCGTCTCGTTACGGCATCGACGCCTGAACACTGGTGTGAGATTCCTGCTCGCACCCTGTCAGGCAGGACAGAAAAATCAATTGCTGCCACCCAGCTGTGAGCCAACAGGGCCACGGGCTGCCCTGACACAGCCAGCTCCTCACCCACCAACCATGGCACCAACCAAAAACCCCCCAGAGTGCTGCAGGTCGGTCTCCATCTCCCTTCCTGCCCGTGCCACCACGTCATCTGCCACCGCTGAGCACCACGTCGGTGCCACCGCAGCAAACCAAGAGGAGTCAGGGCACTGGGCAGGCAGAGCCCGGTGCCAATGCCACCTCCAGACCACACATCCTCCCGGCGACGAAGCCACAGAACCAGCCGCTGAGCAGACCCCCACACCCCAGAGGTGACACCTGAGTGCACAACAGTGCAAGGAACTGCTTTCTCGGTGCAATGGGGGCACTGCTCACCCCCCGTGCCACCTGGCGCCATACCTGCGAGGCCGGTGGAGACGTTGACCTCGGCGTACTGCTGCCCCGGGAGCGGGCTGACGGCCGAGACGCCGTTGAGGGCCACCACGCGGATGGTGTAGTTGACGTGAGGCAGGAGGTTGACCAGGGTGACGGTGCGGTCCACCAGCCCCGTCTGCTGCGGCAGGAAGCCCACGCCGTTGCCGCACTGCTCGCAGCGGCCCCGCAGGGCCGGGGGGCACCGGCCGCACCACAGGCTGTAGGTCAGGTCACTGCGGCCGCCCGCGTCGGCCGGGGCACTCCACTCCAGCACCAGCGAGGACTGCCGCAGGCTGTAGACCAGGTTCCTCGGGGCGGAGGGAGGACCTGGAAGCAGAAGAGGGTCTGGGCACAGGCACCTGGGCAGGAGGGAGAACCAATGGGTCCCCTGGGAGCAGCAGCGCCGGCACCAGTGCCCGAGAGAGAGCGTGGGCCTGGCAGCCACAGCTCGTGGCCGAGCACGGGGACATGAAGGCAGTGATCAGACACCGAGGATCTCAATGGAGGGACACGTTGCACACAGCGAGCCACGGCTCCCACAGCACATGGGAAGTAGCCAGCCAGACCTGTCACCTCTCCAGGGCTCGGTGGCCAAGCAGCCGGGAGCCCCGTGGCTGGTTGGACACTGCCCAGGACCCTCAGGCAAAGCCAGAGCTTCCCCCTCGCTGCGCAGGCAGCTCTACAGCATCCATCACTGGAGTAGCTGGGGTCCAATCCAATTAACTAGAGGCCATTTAATTAAAATCTGCGAACTATATTGACTAAATGACTGTGCCCTAGTTTTACCGGGGAGCCTGCAAGCCTGGCCACGTGTCTCTCATCAGATTGAGACTCATCTGATTGCCTCAGTCCGCAAGCCCCATGGCGTGGGGACAGCCCCCCATCCCTCCCCACCACGGCAGCATCCTAGCATGGGCTGGAACCCACTCGTGCCCAGGCACAGCCCCCGAGGGCTGTGAGGGGACAGCCCCGGGCACCCGTTGGCTCCGCGCTGCAGGAAAACCCAGCGTCTGGATCCCCGATTCCCCAGCACACGCTGCCATCGCCCAGGCACCAAGGGCAGCCTCGTCTCCAGGCTCTGGCCAACTGAGCTGGTGGCTGAGCTGGACACGGGGACCCCACAGTGTCAGGGGGGTCCAGAGGCGTTTGTCTGCCCGACCTGCCCATGATGCTGGTACCAGGTGAGACCATCCACGTCCCACAGTCCCCGCTGCGCTCACTGCCTGCAAGGGGAGCCCAGGCACCTCCACCCAGGCAGCGTCTGCAGGGCAGCCAGAGCATCCAGGAGGATTTCTAGGAAACTGTGTGTTTCTAGGAAGAATTATTGATGTTTGTGCCTTGATCTTGCAAAGGCTCAGCAACAGCTGCTGCCAGTGTGGGACCGGAGATCCCGTGGTTCTGCATTCTCCACTCCTGCCTCGCAGTCTGCACATCTCCCACCCCAGACACAGCTAACCTTTAAATGCACGGACTTGACAAACACAACAGAGAAGTAAGATTAAGGCAGCGAGCCACGATGCATAATAAATGTCATTCCCTACCTAGGGTGCCAGATAAAACAGGAAAAAGTAGCGAATGTTTAAATTACTCCCCAAACTTCCACCAGCTTCCTCTTTATATTTGAGAAACCAAACCAAAACCAATGTGACCTTCATATAACAGAGACACAGTTTGCTTTTTCCTTTAGGTTGGCAGCACTGGCCACCAGCAGCTCGCTGAAGGTCCCGATGGCTGGCACAGGGCACAGCAGGAGCCCTCCCAGCGGGGAGAACCCCGTCTCGTTACAGCATCAAAGCCTGAACGCTGGTGTGAGATTCCTGCTCGCACCCTGTCAGGCAGGACAGAAAAATCAATCCTGTTTACAAACTTGACGGGACCTGAGCACTAAACCCAAGGCGTTCCATCCCCGTTCCTCGGATCTGACAGGGAGCCTGACAGTCACAGGAATCTGACACATTGTCATAGGAAATTGAATGTTTTCAATTAGCAGCATCCCTCAGGCTGTTCCTCCCTGCTTTCCAATAGCCAGAGCAAGTTTACACACGTGTCTGTCGGAAGGTACGGCAGAAACGGTACAAAATGCCCCAGTTTGCATTTCCCAGAAACAGGCACCATGACCCCCCAGGAGCACACCCCCCGAAGCCCCGGGCACAGCTCAGCCCGGGGGGGTGTTACGTGTTCATCTTGTTCCTTGGTTGTCTGAACATTACACTCGAGAACAAAAGTGCCCCAGCACTTGTGATGCATCACGCGTGTTGCAGCCCCGTTTCTTTTCTCGGATAAACCTCCCACCCTCTCCCACCTCATCCCACAAGTGTTTTTCTTGGTGCCCAGCTGGTTTAGGTGTCCCTGCTATTTCACAGTGCTCATTTTTGCAGTGGGTACGTGACAGCTCCCACAAGATCAAGCCATCAACTTAGAGAATGAAATTCTCTTTTCTGTACACCATTTTCTCTCCTATTCATTGTCCTCTGGTACTACCGCCACTTAATTATTAAATAATAAAATTCAATAATACATTCTCCTAGAGCCAAAGAGCAGCAGCTGGATGGGTCAGACAGATTAATTGCCTCTCTCCAGCTCCATCATCGCTGCCCACACGAGCTGCTCCCCGCTCACCAGCCGCGCCACATTCATTCCACTGACAGAGTGAGCACATGTTCCCCCCGTGACACAGCGCTGCACGCACACAC